TGTGTATCATTAAGTTGTAACTGACTCACAGCTGACCCTCTAGTGAATTTTCAGAGGCTATAAATCTCATAGGAGGAAAATGCTAATTTTTTTTCCTAAAGAGCATCTTCTGGATTCAAACTATGTACCTTTGGGTTGGCAGCACAATCTCTTACCTCCTAGCCACCAGAACTATATAGTAAACATAAATATATCAAAACCCATCTTGCTTAAGCTAATTCTTCATATGGGTGATCAGATAAGAGAGAAGAAAGGATAAATACTCTCTTTGATATTAAAAAAAGTTTAAGACCATGAACAGCATTTCACTTAACATAAACAACTTGATGTGAAAATAACTTTGATTATGTAAACAGAAATTGAAGTGGGACAAAAAGATTGGAAATTGGCAGTGGCCAGAAATTGATAGATCTGGAATACCAAACTAAATGATCTGGGTTATCGGTTATCGGATTAACTTTGAGATTCTAATTCTGTATTATAAGGAAGACTGAAGAAAAATTGAAGTCTTTGAATTGTGGTATTGGCGGAAAATATTTAGCATACTAGGGATTTAAAAAAACACAACCCAAATCAGGTTTGAAAGTAGGCTACCACAGCGCTCCTAAGAACCAAGACTGCAGATTCTTTGTCTCACATATTTTGGGCATGATATCAGCAGAAGCCAGCACCTGAAGAAGGACCTCATGCTTGGAAAAAATAGAAGGTGAGAAAAAGAGAAGAAGATCCTCAGTTAAGTGGATTGACTCAATGACCACAACAGTGGATTAAAGTACAGCAGATATCACTGCAGTTTATTTTACATTGTAGTAACCATTCAATACATACATATCTTGGATTAAATACTGCATGATAGAAAACAATATAAAAATAGTAAAAGTCTTGCATATATACATATATGTGTGTGTTTGTTTCACAGGTCTCTATATCCCTCTGTGTGATGAAGATGGCTATTATAAACCAACTCAATGTCAGGGAAGTATTGGACAGTGCTGGTGTGTTGACAGATATGGAAATGAAGTCACAGGATCTAGAAAAAATGGTGTTGCAAACTGTGGTAAGGAGAAGGATTATTTATATTGTAATATCCCACGCATAGTACCCCTATTCAAAATTGATAAATTATCCTGTTATTTGGCATTTCAAATTTTGGACAATAATTAAAAATGTACTCTCTGAATACATTGTGCATTAATTATGTATTTATGGCAATAGTAAATATGGAGGTATCAACTTTGCCAGGATATGATTTTCAATGGTCTGGCAGTTACATAATGATGTAATTTGGCAGCCTAGGAAAGATATAATAATTTTTCATTTTGTAACGCATGTGCTCATTTTTCATTTTTACATAACACAAATGTTCATATAACTCAAAGAATTAGTGTATATAAAAATGCTTTCCTTTTGGTTAACTATTAATTTGACTCCATCTATTAGACACAACTATTTTCTCGAAGCTTCCCGAATGACCTGTTCTGCATATAGATTGAAAAAAATATGGAGATAAGATGCATCCCTGATGCACACCTTTCCTAATCTTAAACCATGCAGTGTTTTCCTTCCCTGTTCTGATTACTACTTCCTGTTTCAAGTTTAGCTTCACATGAGCACAGTTGAGTGCTCTAGGATTCTCATTCTTCTCATGGTTAGCCACAGTTTGATGTGACCCACACAATCAAAGGCCTTTTACACACAGACATTCTTCTGGTACTCTCTGCTTTCAGCCAAGATTCCTCTAGGGTTGGCTATCATGTCCCTAGTGTGCTGCCTCTTCTAAACCAAGTCT